GTGGAGGTGACTCTTATGGAAGAATAAGGTAAGGACTTCTATGTCAGCTTTGGGTAGTTAGGTCAATGCTATCGACCGATGGAGGAAAAACAGAATCAGGGTAGCATTGGGGAGAGAGATGGCAGGTTGCTTCTGATGTGTTTATGAGACATCTAGATGTAGAAACTCAGTTGGAGTTGGACAAAGAAATCTGACTTTGGGGAGAGGTGATCTAACTAAGGCAGCCATTGAGACAATGACATCGGGTAGCTGAACAACGTAACTTATCACAGTTCTGAGGAAGCTTTAGTATATAATTCACCATCAGTTAACAGAAAACCAGAGGCAGAAAAAAATTATTAGAGATTCTCTTTTGAAATATCATTATATTCTTTCCAATAGGAAACCATTTAAAATGCTCGCATCTGATTTAGCTACGATATCACCTGCATCTCTAGGAGTTCATCAACAAAGATGGCAGGCTTTCAAGTGTCTCCTTGGCATCACAGTAGGCCATCTGCCAACCAGCTTCCTCATCCACCTGGGGGCTTGTTAAGGACAGGCATTCCAGCCACTCCAACAAGACTCTAACTCCGGGGGTGGGGCTTGTTAAGGTCAGCTGGTGCAGCCTCTTCCACAAGACTCTGACTGTGGTAGTATTGTGTTCCCCAAAATATTGTATACCCTAATAAATTTGTCTGTGGTCAGAGACAGAACAGCCACTAGATACAAAGGCTAGAAAATGGTGGCACTCACACCTTTAATCCTAGCATTCCAGAGGTAGAAATCCCTCTGGATCTCTGTGAGTTCAAGGCCACATTGGAAACAGCTAGGCATGGTAACACACGCCTTTAATCCCAAGAAGTGAGCCTTTAATCCCAGGGAGTGATAGCAAAACCAGAAAGATATATATAGGCGTATATATAAGGCGTGAAAACCAGAAACTAGAAGCTTTTAGCTGGTTAAGTAATTAGGTTTTGAGCAGCACAGTTCAGCTGAGAGCCATTTGGATGAGGACACAGAGGCTTCCAGTCTGAGGAAACAGGATCAGCTGAGGAACTGGTGAGGTGAAGTTAGCTGTGGCTTGTTCTGTCTCTCTGATCTTCCAGTTCACCCCAATACCTGGCTCAAGTTTGATTTTATTAATAAGAACTTTTAAGATTCCTGCTACACTCTGACTCTAGAGGCCAGGGCTCCGGATTTCTTGGAGCTTCCAAGTCTAACATTCCAGCTAAGAAAACTTCGTAACATTCACTTCTCATGGCCTCAAGTCTCGTGCGACACTGTTCTCTGAAAGACAAGGGCTGTTTAGTTCCTGGACTTGGACCTGAATAGCTGAAGGCAGAAATACCTTCGATTTCCCAAGCAGTCACAAACTCTGGTGACTAAGAGGAGTATATCATTGCCAAGATACACCTGTAAATAAAAGTGGTAGTTATTATAATAGGCACCTGTAGGCAGTGTTTATTTTATAGGAAAATAATGGCTTGCAGGAGGAACCTAAGCTATAATAAAATTAATTATATCATCCCATAAGACACAAGACATGAGGAGGATTTCCATCACAGGAACTCATTGTGTGCGTTCAGCTATGCAGTCTGGTGATGGTTGACCACCCGCTGTAGCTACTCTCTGACCCCTGTCATGTGACAGCTGGGTAGCTCTACCTCCTTAGTTCTTACTGGAGATCCACAGAACACTGGAACACTGGTGCTCCTCTGGGGATGCTGAGCAGCCCTTTAAACACTTACCGTGTTATTTTCAGAGCTGTGAGTTACTCTGTCTTCTTTAGACTTTCACAGTGACTATGGCACATCACAGACTCTGAAGTTTTGAAATCACAAGCCAATTAAGTTTGTTTATTTAGTTGTCTCCTGTGCTTTGTGGTTTTTGCTTTTGATCATAGTTTCCTCTCTATATGAAATATATAAATATATATGTAAAATACGTAAACGAACCACTGCCCAGACAGTGCCAAACCAAAATTTTTAATTCTGATGAGACCAATTAAAAAATGTAAGTTGGTGACCATGGATTGAATACTTCACAAATAGAGACTTCTGATGAAATGGAACAATGCTATTTGATCCTTAGTCTCTGGATTAAAATAAAGTGCCTAAGCACATATATAATAAAGTGCACAAACTCAAGAGGAACATTTTAGAAATTTAGGACAGCCTACAAAATTCAAATAAGTGCGAAATATTTGTCCACTTGAAATTATCAGACTAAATTACTGCTGCCTATGCATTGCAGTAATTCCTGGGGTCTTATTTTTAATGAATGCTGGTAACATGTTTTCTTAAAATGTAAAATCCATGCTATTCAGTATTTAATTTTATAGATGTACCCCCTCCAACCCAGATCACCATTGTTGCTACAGGAGTGCCCTCAACAGTCTCAAACACATGGGAATTCTCAAAACCCTTGTCATCTTGCTCACACTATATCACCTTGGCTTGGAATCTCATCAATGACCTCTCAGTGTTAACTAATTTCCTTCACAAGCCACTGATAACCCTGGTTTCACTGTATTAAATCTGTACAAATCCATCTTTCTCCCATGAATCCGAATCCTAAAAGGACAAGAAGTAAGTCATATTTACTTGAGTGACACACAATAATACAAGTTTAATGAATTTTGCACTGAAATTAAAGTATTCCAGAATTAATTTCTTTTCCTAATTAAAACTAACATCCTCCAGTGGTCTGGATGAATGAGACTTAGTCAATAGCAGAAAGCAAAAGTTGAACTCGCAAAACATCCTTCCCTAGAGTTTGAGGCCATTTGGAGACCTAATTTCTAATGGTTTGTTGAAAGCTGGCGGTAAAGTATTGAGAAGACTCGGTCAGGATGGTGGGGGCAGAGCAGCTTTGGCCCAGACATAAAGCACTCACTCCTGGGGATGAACCTGGAATTTGCCATCAGCATAAATAACAAGAGAGTAGCACCAGCAAGACCATGCTGAAGGACTCTTCTGTGTTTGTTCACAAGGTTCTCACAGCCTCCCAATCCAGTCACTGCTGTTCACACCCAGAGAGGAAACTGAGGCACAAAGAGGCCACGTGACTTGTTCAATGTTACACACTCAAAGATTACAGACAGACTCATTTATATTTTATCTTGATAGGCAACAGAACCAGTAAATAACCGTTCTGGGAGCTCTGGAATTAGGCTATCTGGGTCGATACTCTAATTGCTTTAGTTATTTTGACGTCTGCTTTTTGCCTGTGTTCTCAGCATTAAAGTAAGTTCTTTGTAGAGCCCATGTGGATGCCCAGGGGACTCCTCTGCTAGAAGGAACTCTTATCTAGTTACCCTTAGTACTGCTCCTGGGAATAGTTTTCAGTGTGAGAGTCATGTTACCTTCATGCTACGTGTACTGTTGGTGACTAAGGATTGCTTAGGGGCTGAGAAATCCCAGTGACCTCTATACAAGACTTTCTGGGTTTTGCAATATATCCCTTTTAAAATTGTAGTGGGGTGGAGGGATAGCCTACTCCTTTTTAAAAAGCTAAGGCTCATGACCAAACCATCAAGAGTTGGGTTTTCAGAACCCACATCAAAGGTCTCTCCAACTCCCTTTAAAGTGCTGGGTGTGGTGACATGTGACTTTAATCCTAGCACTTAGGAGGCAAGAAGTTGGTAGATTTCTGTGAGTTTGCTGTCAACCTGATCTACATATAAAGTTCCAATCCAAGCAGGGATAGATCGTAAGACTCTGTCTCAAAAACAAACAAGTACACACTATAGTATGGTGCTGGCTTCCTTGTCCTTTAGGATACATAGTAATGACACCTGAAATAGGAATCTCTAGCTGGCTCAACTATATTACATGTTCTTGGCTTCCTTGCGATAAAGGCTTTCATTTCTGCTAGCACTGAGCTCTGTAGAATCAGCCTCTAGATTCTGCAAGAGGTGGTGGTGACCGATGTGGTGAGGGGAGCTGTTCTGATCTGGAATGCATATTGAACTGGCCTGCATGCGAGCCAATAGGAAGCACAAAATCTTCTGATTGGCAGCATTTGCTTGTTTTAAGGTGTGTGTGTGTGTGTGTGTGTGTGTGTGTGTGTGTGTGTGTGTGTGTTTTGGTGTGTGTGTGGGTATATGCCTGTTTGTCCATATGTGTGCCATGTGCATGCAGTGCCTATGAGGCCAGGAAAGACTCTAGAAGATTTTTGAAGGAAAAACAGTTCTTCCTAATCCTTCTAACTTTACCCAAACATATACATTCCAAACACCCTGATATATTAAACATTATGCACATGTTTAAGGAGCTGTGTTGCAGCACAGGTAGGCTCTGATTTGCTCGTGCTTCGTAGCCCTCAATTTCTTCCTTAGGTAGGAAAAACATGGATTCTCTTGCAGTGATATGTAAAGTAAAGCTCTTATGTCTGGCTTTGAGTGAAATGCATAATAAAGCCTTTGCTATGTTTGGCTTAATCAGTAGAGACTGAGAAATTGTTTTGAGACTGTTTAAACCTTGAAGAAATGTTGTCTATCTAGAGAACCTGCACTTGGTGGTACATGAGAGCTTGCAGCTGCACTGACCTTGGTCCTAAGACACTCCTGCCAAATCTGGAGTTCTTACTTTTGATTGTGGTTAGCCATAATCAAAAGGAACTGAGATTTGTGTGGGTTGTGTGCTCTCACAGGCAGCAAGAGCAAGATAATTTGGTAGCTGGAACCTTTTCCAGCCTCTATTAACCTTATAAAGTTACCTGGAGTGAGCTAGCTAGGTGTCAGTCTTTACAAGAAGGCTGAACCCCTCTGCTCCAGAAAATGAAGGCTTAGCATCTTGGTGAGCTTCTCTCTCTCTCTCTCTCTCTCTCTCTCTCTCTCTCTCTCTCTCTCTCTCTGTCTCCCCTGTGGCACCTATGGCTGACATCAAATGATATCTGGCACCCAACGTGGGACATAAAACCACACCCCTGGGATTAAGAGTCAAATGCTCTACCACAGGCTCAGTTTAAGTCAACACATTTCTCCCTATGACTCTTCACTTTCCAGTGGACACCTCTGAAGAGAGCGATGGTCTTTATTGGAATTAACATTTCTTACAGCTTCTCCATACACAAACATCCCGCAAAGCTGTCCTGAAGTTTCACTGCACGAGCTACATTGGGCAAAAGGTCTGAGTCCGTACAGAGTGCAGAAGATGCCTCAGCTGAATGATCCTATCAGGAGGGGAAGACAGAATTCAGTTCTCGAATTAACCCTTCAAACATCATCCGTTAGATCTGTCTTTTGGAGCATTCCCTCCTTGCATAGCAGCTTCTGATTACTGCTTTTGGTTGGAGACAAACAAACCAACTCTAGCTGGATTGAGCCTACAGTGAAAAACCCATCGGGAGGACACTAAGGTAACTCATAAAACTCCGACACAGGAATAGAGGAACTAACCGAAAGAGGAAAGTTCCAAGACACTAAAAAACTTCCCGTCTGTCCTTTTGTCCAGTTTCGTTTGTCTTCTTCTCTGCATTGCAAGCTTTCTGTTTCCCAATCAAGAGAAGGAGGGAGGGAAGGAAAGAAGGAGCGAGAGAGGGCAGGAGGGAGGGAGGGAGGAAGAGGGGTGGGGAGGGGGAGGAAGGGGAAGAGAGGGAGCTTTGGGTTTTATAAGGTAATCGTGTGAACACTTCACCTTTACTCTTGATGCTGCTGGGGAAAGGACAGCTTGGGTCAAGTGATACAACAAATTAATGGGCTGTGGCTCAGCTCCCGCTGCACAGGCAGAGCGGCAATCATGGGATTAGCAGGAAGCATGGAAGGGATGATTCTTAGGAAAGACATGGGAACTGGGCAAAGAAATACTTCTCTAGTGTGGATGGTGCCAGAGAGACTGTTTGCCCTGAACCATTGGAGACTGAGTAGATCAAATGCCCCACTGGCACTAAATGCCACCCCTCAGAACACTGTCCTGTGTCCACACATGGCATCAAAATTAGGAAGCTAACTGACACATCACCGCCACGGGTCTAAGCACCTTCAGGAAAATGTGTTCAGCTGACAGAGGACAAGCAGGAAGCAGGTTGCACAGATGAACACAGTTTGTTCATAGCAGCAAGACTGCTGAACTTGGGGTCGCCGATGGGGAGCCATCAGTTGGTCTCTGTGCTTCAGCATGTCGCCAACCTGGGCTCTATTCCTAACAAACAGAATGGAAATGAGGGGTATTTAGCCAAGATAAAAACAAATTTATTCTTAAAATGCCAGAGGGGGTAAAACACCGTTTTGAAGTTAGAGACTTGAGTCTATAAGAAGGGTTATACATTTCCAACTTTGTTTTTCCTTAGCACATGTGAGTATCTGGCCTGCTTGAAAGTATGTACGCTGCACACATGCAGTGCCCTTGGAGGCCAAAAGAGGCCATTGGATCCCCTGGAATGAAGTTACAGCTGGTGGTGAGCCACTTGATGTGAGACTGGGAACTAAACCTGGTTCCTCGGCATGAGCAGCGAGTGTTCCTAAGCCATCTCTCCAGCCCCTCAGCCTCACCTCGGAGATAACGCTGAAGCATAGCCTTTAGGGTTGGACTTTAAAACAAGGTTTAAACTGATTTTGATCCTTAGCACATTAGCATGAGTTCATGCCTAGTTTTGCTCAGACCATTGCTTTCGCATGGCTGGGAATTGAACCCAGGGCCTTTGGTATGTTTGACAAGGACTCTACACTGAGCCACCCCCAATGTCATGCTTCTTTGATAGGATATTACAGAAGTCGTTCCTGCCCTCTAGTGTTTCTAGTGGCATATAATTTTGATTTATTTCACAACTGGTTATGTTGGCTTTGACCCTTGCTTAAGAGGGTTTGTAAAGTCTCGACAATGCCAAATGATTTTATTTCTGTGTATAAATAATAAATATTTTATAAGAAGATAAGTTGAAATTATGTAAATATCTCAACATAATTTCCATTGATTTATTGATCCTTTAAGTCGATGCATCATTTGCTTTAAAAAAAAAAAAAATCTCCTTTGAGTGAATGAGTCATTGTTCTCTGCAGACACTGTCTGCCCTTCCCAGCAACTGTCTGACTTCCACAACCTGAGAGTGTTGCAGTTCTCTGTGGGCTGAAAGAACACACTTGGTCCTTGCTCGATGCAAGCTGGAAGTCCTGGAGCGGTAGCGTTTCCAAGGGCAGTTCTGAGTCCATGAACATATTACACTCAGCTGCCTTGCTGCCTGGGGTCTTCAGTCTCTTCCCAGACTTTCTAGATAAGAGCGAGCTCCAGTACCTAGACCATCACCTTGTTTAATAGATTCTTTGTTTTACCCACTCCCTTCTGGAACCTTCCTGCCTCAGTGTCCCACATACTGCACCATGCTTCATAGGATCATCTCTCAGTAAGATACTTGTTTTTCTCAAGATCTTTTTTGTGGACCTTATCCTTGAACTCATGCTACAGGGGCTGGAGAGATGGCTCAGCAGGTAAATGCATTTGCTGCTCTTGAAAAGAACCCTGATTCAGCTCCCAGAAGTCACAGGGCAGATCACAACCATCTGTAACTCCACATTCAGGGAATCTGTTTCCCTCTGCTGGCTTCTGCAGGCACCTCGGCATGCACACACACACACACACACACACACACACACATAGAGAGAGAGAGAGAGAGAGAGAGAGAGAGAGAGAGAGAGAGAGAGAAATACTTGATATATGTATGCAAAATACTCACCCATATACATAAAGTGAATAAATATATCTTAAGTAAAAAACGCATGCCGCACTATGACAACTTGGAAGAGATTTCTCTGTGGCTGTGATAAACTCATGATCCGGCAATTCAATCATTCCTCCAAGTCTTTGCTTCTCTCTATGGATGTGAAGCCCTGTGGAATGAACACAGGTGCACAGGATACTCTAACTATAACAAAACAGCCCTCGGCTCCTTACAGCGATAGGAAATCAGGACAATGTTAGTGAAACTGAACGCAGTGAACTCACACCATCTAGATAACAAGCTCACAACTGTCAGCAAGCATGCCGTCCAATACTTTCTTACCCTTTTCTGTTGCCATGGTGGGTTCGGGTCAGTCCCCAAGTCTGGGCAAGGCATCTCTTTCCCATCCTCCACAGGGCTGCTCTACTAAGAATTACCATTTTTACTTCATGCAAGCAAATGCTTCCCATATATGACATTTTTTTTAAAGCAGACTGAAAATAATAATAATGTTCTGGGCCTTGCTATTCTTAAGCCCCCCCCCCCAAAAAAAAACCACTCAGTACAAACAACTTCTAGACCAACTCTGTCTGGGAAGAGCAGATTTAGAAAGAAGGGAGACACTATAGACAGTACCACATACAAGAAAGAAAATAGAGCGTCTCAGCCGGGTCCATTGTGGGATGCTGCAGGATGTTGACTCACTTCCCAACTATGGTCCTTGCTGAGCTCAGGAAGGAGTAAACAGCCTTTCATGCCATGGGCACGGCGCAAACAAACCTCTCCGGGCCACGCTCTGCTGCTGTGTAACTAGCAGCCGCCAGTGCTAACATCTGCACTGGACACTGAGTAACTATTTTCCCAAAAGAGCAAACAGGTAGTCAAGTATAGAAAACTGTACACACAGTGCTCGCCTGTACAAGCGGTGGGAATAGCTGGACAAATCAAAGGAAACAAGAAATGGTGATGATGTCTTAAAAACAAACACGTCATTCCCTCTTAAAAAGATGGCGGCGTTGGCAGAGAGCAGAGCCTGGTAAATCTTTCTTGCTAATAAAGCAGAGCCCGGCGCCCCCCGCCAGCCTCTCCTGTGGAAATGAGGAGTCTTTAATGTCGAAGTGACCCTAGTTATAAATAATTGTCCCAAGCCTCTCTGTAATTACTTGTCACTCCCAAAGTATTCCCCGGGCAGAAGTCCGAGTACATTTTACATCTGACCAGTCACAGGAATTTAGTCCAAGAGAGGATGGTCAAGTTATAAACATGCCAGTTCCATCTACAGTGTGGTGAGCATTTTGGCCAGAATTTGACCTGCCAGTCAGAGACCAGCAGCTTGGACCTTTTAGCTGACTCTAGCCCTGGACACAGTGAACCAAGGACCACAGACCAATTAAATGTCCCTAACACCATTCACTTCTCAACAGAATCTACAATTAAAGGATCCTTCCCACGTGAACATCAGAGCCGTCTATAATGAGACTGGTTTGTGGGGACTAATAACCAAATCTCTTCGGTCTTGGCCGTGGGAAGATGTAGGCAGTCCAGTGAGGGAATCCTCAGAGGAAACAGTGGTGACTTTTCAATGCTCGTTTGTTTTCCCTGCCTTTGAAGAGCCTGCATGTGTGTTCGGCCATTCCAACGCTGAGTTCAGAATGGGAACTATCGGTTTTCTGGGCCCTTCCATCCTTTCCCCAACCACCACTGTTATTGGTTTGGCTTTGTGAAGACATCCTTCCTCACCAGTAACATTAAAAATGCATGCGTAAGAGGTTGCACCGTACCCATTAAAGAAGAGCAAAGACTTTTTTAAGAAGGGATTTTCCATGTATTTGATAAGACTGGAGGAATTTTTTTTTCTGCAACATTACTTTTTCAAATGCATAATATAAACTTGAAAGCATAAGGCTGGCGAGATGGTTTAGTGGGTAAGGGTTCTTATCACCAAGACCTGAGTTCAGTCCCCAGAACTCACACGGTGAAAAGAGAACTGACCCCTGACAGTTGCCCTCTGACTTTCTCAAGTATGCCGTGGCATGTACCCTCATGCTCATAGGGACACACACACACACACACACACACACACACACACACACACACACACACACTGTGGTTATATAAAACAGTGAAAGTTAAAATTACATTTTTAATAAAAGTTTTATTTACTTAGAAGCATTCAGAATGTCAGCAAAACAGCTGAAATTTGTTTGCAATTATGGAGTGGTGTTCAGCTAATGGATCATTGTTTTATATAAGCTGCATTGGAGACAAAAGAAGGTGAAAGTCATATAACTTGTACTGTACACCAACAAAAACCTGCTTTAAATTTCCTTGCCAATTTACAACCCCCATACTGTCCCAGGCAAGATTAGTGGCTACTGAAAACACCACCAGGACAGGCTATCTAAAGACATATTTGATAGTCTATGAAAAGACACTGTATAGTTTTTAAGGTGTAATTCTTTAAGAACTACATGCACGCATATAATACACCTTGATCATATTCGCCTCCACTCCTCCTGGTTCCACTTAGACTCACTCCCACCTCCATCCCCTCTAAACTTTGTGTCCTCTTACTTTTTTTAATCCACAAGGTCCCGTCTGTACTGCCATCCACTCGTAGGTGCAGGACCTCTCCCTGGGAAGAGGTCAACCTACCAGAGACGACACCATTCAAGAAAACCCCTTCTTCCCCTAGACGCTATCAATTACCAGTAGCTCCTCAGTTAAGGTGGGGCCTGCTGGAGCCCACACCACTCCCCATGCTGGAATGTTGACTGGCTTGATCCTGTGTACAGTCTTCTGTAGGCAACCACAGCTTCCGGGACTTCCTGAGTGCCATGGCTTTGTCACGGCCAGATGTCACTGTTTCAGTTTGGTCCTCTCCAACTTCTCATTCTCTTTCTGCCTTGATTTCTGTGATGGTCCTTTGTGGGAGCCCACAAAGGTTTTCTAGTGAGATCTGAGCTTGTTTTACACAGCGGGGCTGCATTAGGGGATGGCTTGACCACATGCATGGTCACCAGGTGTTTGGGACGGTCTACACTCGCTGTGCTGGGGGAGGTCCTTTGCTCCATCCCTTGACATTCCTTTAAAAAGCCCTTTAGTAGAGACAGAAAGGGCTGGTGGGGTGAGACCCAGTCCCTCCAGAGGATATTCTGTGTTTTTAATCTATCTCTCTCCTCTATCTACAAATTCCTCATTTCTCCCTGCTCAAGAGTACCCACAAAGGGAATAAGAGGAGCTAGTCTCCCACAGTCCTTGAGCCTTAGGGAGGGTGTGTGTGATGTAGCAGTCCCATTTGGGGCTGAGCACACCACTGACTTATTCTCTGCAGTTTGACCAGTTGTGAGTTTCTGCATTGACCATCGTCATCCACTACCCACAAAGAAACTTCTCTCACAAGGCCTGAGAGTTGCACTGATATAGGGGTCTATAGAGAGAGATGAATCTAAAGGGTGGTTTGGTGCACTGTCCATTGAGAAGAACACTAGGAGTAGGTTTACCCTGGGGCCTATGCTTCCCAATCATGGGTTCTCGGCCAGATTTATTTACAGTATCAAGCATACGTTTCTCCTATGCATTGGGCCTTAAATTCAAACAGAGACCAGCTGGCAGTCCCTGTAGTATTTATCCCACTATTGTATCCATGAGCACATCTTGCTTCATTATTGTAGCTCATGAGGCTCACAACTGGGTAATGATTGACGACTGGGTAACGATTGATGACTGGGTAACAATTGACAACATTTTGCCACCAGCAACCAGGAGACATGGCCCTGTGTCGCTCCTGGTGTTGCTTTAGGCCTGAGAAGGGGTTTCTCTTGATGATCTCCTGCCTGCATTGGATCTTCTCGCTAGCAGAGTGAGCTGAGATGGGATGATGAAGCAGCAGGGTGGAGTAGTTGCCAAGGCAACAGCAGCCTCAGTCACTGCAGCAGGAGTGGAGAGAGGGAAGCTGAAAAACTCCAGAGAATATGAGGAGCAGAAGCATTGGGGATGCAGAGATTAGAGGCCTGAGGAGGAGAACCTCTACTCCATGGTCCCTGAGAGCTCCAGGGAGCTGGCCCTGAGGAGAACCTGTAGGCTGTGGTCCCTGAGAGCTCCAGGGAGCAGGTCCTGAGGAGAATCTGTAGGCTGTGGTCCCTGAGAGCTCCAGAGAGCAGGCCCTGAGGAGAACCTGTAGGCTGCGGTCCCTGAGAGCTCCAGAGAGTTGGCAGTCCTTAAGTGCCGAGGGTCTCACATACTTTGCTTCTGAGGACTATAGCAGAAGCCACTGTTGAGGGCTGGGGATCCTGACATCCTAAGCCGAGCACTGAAACATTCATCATCACAGAGCTGTAGGTCCCCCATTGGAGGCCTGTCCCAGAGCACCTCCACTGGAGGTGATTCCTGCTGCTGCTCCCACCCCCTGCTGCTAGGGATCACAAAGGCTGCTGAGTGCTGGGGTGACTAGTCCATTAAAGCTCAGAATGATACAGCTCCAACCTAGTGCCTGAAGCCTTAAGTCCACGGCTGCTAAAGCCTGAAGCTATAAGCCCTGTGGTGGATGGAATAGAAATGGTCCCCATAGGTTCATATATTTAAATGTGTGGCCATTAGGAAGTGGTGCTTCTTAAGCAGGATTAGGAGGTGTGGCCTTGTTGGAGTAGGTGTGGCTCTGTTGGAGGAAGTGTATCACTGGGGGTGGGCTTTGGGGTTTCAGAAGCTCAAGCCAGGCCCAGGGGCTCTCTTCCTGCGGCCTGCAATCTGAATATAAAACGTTCAACTTCTCTAGCACCATGTCTGCCTGCATCCCACCCTGCTCCTGTCATGGTGGACAATGGACTAAAGCTCTGAAACTGTAAGCCAGCCCCAATTAAATGCTTCCTTTCCTAAGAGTTGCTGGGGTCCTGCTATCTCTTCACAGCAATAGAGCACAGGCTAAGATGGGTCCCTAGCTCTCGAGGCTTGAGCTGAGTCTCTGAGCCTCCCAGTCTAACCCCTGTACAGTGGGCACTCAAGGGCCTAGGGCTTCCAGTCCTGGAGTAGATTCTCCTTGCCTACCCACAATTTCTATTCTGGTAGAAAAAAAGAAAAAAAAAACTCCCAAGCTAATTGATTACATTACTTTGTATAATATTACCCTCACACCAGTAGACTCTCTCAGAGACAAGGGCCTATTATTGGAAA